ATAATCCTATTATAATTTTGTTTTGAGTTACAGGGGGGTGGGGAAGGGGACCCTTTAAGGCAGTGGTTCTCAACCTGTGGGTCTCGAACAATGAAAATACATCCTGCATATCAGATATTTACATTACAATTCATAGCAGTAGCAAAATTACAGTTATGAAGTAGCAACAAAAATAATTTTATGGTTGTGGGTCACCACAACATGAGGAACTGTATTAAAGGGTTGTGGCATTAGGAAGGTTGGGAACCACTGCAGGAATTGCATTCAGTAACAACACTACAGTATAGCAATATGGATAACATCTTCAACTCAGTAAAGAATGGTGTTTAAGATTATTTTAAGGTATTTTGCCTGAATAACAACATAATACCTCAACTTCTAATTAAAAATATAAACCTAGCCCTCTCGTCTCTCATTCACTTCTAACTAGACCTTCTTTTAAAGGCAACTATCGATTACATGGTTAGATTGGATGCGCATTATCCCATAAACCCAAATGAGCCAAAAGCCCAGCGATGTGTAAAACCTAAGAGGCAACCTGAAAGGCTGACCTCGGGAACCTTTCTTATTTTTATCAAACAATGTGATCACTCTGGAGATGAAAACTTTTGGTTGGAACCGTAGAACCAGGACACCTAGAGGAACAAGAGTAAAAGAACACTACCTCCTGCTCCACAACAAATACTGAGATTATGAAAACAGATACTACTTGTTGAAAGAAGACGACATTACTAAAAATAGAAACATAAAACTCCGGAAGAAAGACTAAGAAGCACATGGATAAGCCTTTGCCTTTTTCATGCCATCTGCAAGTCTTCTGCTTTGTGTAGGACTTCGGTATAGGTAGTTTAGATGCAACTATTAGGCATGATATTCACCAGAGGAGACTCAGTCTCTTTCCCTACCAAATATCTGAATACAGGATAAGCATCCTAACATTGCCACAACTGGCTTGAACTGCAGGCTCTCAAGTGTTGGATGCGGACCTTTGCAAGTAAAATGTGATTTCCCAACTATTGTGTGGTTACAGAGGACGTGAAGTTGTGAAAGACATCCATCCCCCAGCTCTTCCATGTTTCTTTGGTTTCACAGTGCTGGGCTCTGCATCCCCACTTGGCCACCTTAAACCAAAAGGCTGAGTTTTGGAAATCAAGAAGTTTAGCCTGATTTCAGACTCTGGTATGTCATCTCTCCCAGGGTACAGAGATTACAATAATCCAAATGGCAATTTTTTAAAAAATATATTTTATGGGTCTGTTCTACTAATCTTGATCGAGAGATGATAAAAATAAATCTAAATCAGCTGCCTGCACATCTCCTACTGGGGATGTGCCCGCAACCCAGGTACATGCCCTTGACCGGAATCGAACCTGGGACCTTTCAGTCCGCCGTCTGACGCTCTATCCACTGAGCCAAACCGGTTTCGGCCCAAATGGCAATTTTTGATGTTTTGAAGCATGTGGGTCTGTTCTACTAATCTTGATCAAGATATTCAAGATATGACAAAAATAAATCTAAATATTGAAATATATTTACATTGTATGTAACCGACAAAGTTATATACATACTAGAGCAGTGGTTCTCAACCTTTCTAATGCCTCGACCCTTTAATACAGTTCCTCATGTTGTGGTGACCCCCAATTTCATTGTTACAAATTGAACATAATTAAAGCATAGTGATTAATCACAAAAACAATATGTAATTATATATGTGTTTTCTGATGATCTTAGGTGACCCCTGTGAAAGGGTCGTTCGACCCCCAAAGGGGTCACGACCCACAGATTGAGAACCGCTGTACTAGAGGCTCAGTGCACAAATTCGTGCACAGGTCCGGTGGCCCTGCCCCAATCTGGGCGGATGGGGCTGAGCCTGTGGGGAGGAGGAGACAGCTGTAGGTTGGCTGGCCACCCCCCACCCCCCAATTGGAGCCATCAGGGCCAGGCCCACTGGGGGGAGGGGCCCTGCCTGCAATTGGGGTGAGAGGGAGACGATTGGGGGTGGGGCCAGCCATGGGGAGGGTCTGGCCTGCCCCTGAATGGGTGGGGGACCCATGGGGGTCAGTGGCCGGGGAGGGGCCCTGGGAATTTGACCAGCCAGCCGAACCCCATTGGTGTGGGTG